ATAGCATACAAATGTTTCTTTCATTGTCTATTAAGTGTTTCTCATAACTCATAAATGGCAGTGTTCCCATATAGGTCTGTGTGTATTTGTCTGTGTGTGTATTCTGAATGAAAACTGTAGATAAGAAGATTCATTGTGTGCTGGAGAACATAATAAGTGATTTGTTAGTTTACATGGTAATTCCAGTACTCACTCGCCAAGACAAGAAGTGTCTTGGCTATCGATCACAAACATTTATCTTTATAGTCCGTCACGGTAGTCCAGTTGTGACATATACAGGCAAGGGTTCTGTTGCAATAACTCCACAAGGCTTTCTTCTATGTCCTCTCTCTTGGTTCGCCATTTTAAAAACTGTATAAACTGTATAGAAATTGAAATGGTCAACGTCAACCATGTGACTGAAGGGAAAATTTAACATGCTAGATTTCTGTAATGACATCAAGAAACATCACAGACATGGAATTGATTGTTGTGCACTATGACACACAATCATTAAAAATGAAAGGTGCCATATACTGCACTGATGCAATAAGTTAACTTCTCTGATATCTACATAGTAGGTATATGCTCATTTATTACTCTGTAAAATACCTCTTCAATCATAAGGGCTATAATTGACCATATTTGGATCAGTCATGAATATTAAAGAGCTCCACTCTGATGTGTAGCTCACTGACATGCACACATACACACACAGCATGATGTATGCTGAACACGCAAAGGTAGTAGATGCCTAGTTAATCTTTTTAACTTAATGAATAAATGTTTATACATGGAGAGAGTGAGCTCTCTAATATAAACCCATCAGAGTAGCATTAACCTATTTTGCTCATAAGATCTGTTGTGGATAAAGGCTAAATTATAATTAAACTTGACCAGAGAGACTGATAGAGATGTATTGTTTAAGCTATAATGTCAACGAAAACACAGCCAGGAAATAACATTAACCTCTGCATGAACAGATGACAGTTAAGCTGGGTGATTTGACACCATTCAGCAGTCTACATGTGTCTGTTTAAAAACTTGGATATCAAATACTACAATAAACATAATAAATTAACAAAATATTCAATTTAACATACCTTATGCCTCTCCAGAGTGGAGCTAAATAAATGTATAATCTGTAATTATTGCATTTTGTATCCTGACGTGAGTTTGAACAAGCTTAAAAATAACTAAAGTTATCAAGTGCATGCATATTAATGATCCCACATATACGCATGAGACGATAATTGTTTTCAAGGTAAATCAAGGTTAAAAAAAGTCAAGGTTTTAAAACTGCCCATATTTTCTGCTATACCATTCCTACGGTATATGTAAGTTTTTTTTTTACGTTTTGTTTGTTAGGACAACACTATCTTCAGCAGAAAAGATATCCAAGATGCTGTTTTAAATTGTAATGAAATCTGTGATTTGGAAACTAATGAAGACAGGAAGTCAATGATTCATTTGTTTCTTAAAATAAAAATATATTTTGTTCAACAGGGAAAAAAGTTTTTTTTTTTTTTTTAAATATCATATTTCAGAGCAATAATCACAATTAAACCGTGATATTATTATCCAAGATTATCATACCATCAGAATCTTATAAGTGTGTTCTCCTGATGACACGGCTGCTCGTCAGGGACGGATGAACGACCTAAAGTACATGCAAATGATGAGGGTATGACATTTGAGTCACGTAACAGTCTGCTTTAGCTTCTAATTGGCCTTTTGTCCACCTATGTTTTACACTTGTGGAATTTACATGAGAATGAGGAAACAATCATGTATGAGGCTCACAGTATGGCCATTTTAATATACTGATGTCTTATTATTTGACTATGCCTATGTATACCCAGATGTTTATCGGACACCTTTAAAACTTGAGTCCCTATGACCATTTGTCATTTACTAATCCCCATGACAAGATCATCATCCAGGAATAGGGACAGAAATGGGGTAATCTTTAGCCAAAGTGCATAATCAAAGTGGTTCGGTATTATTACCTCCCTCATCCTTTCTTTAGCAGCTGCATTCCCAAATAGGGGTCTCGCTCCCCCAAAGGCCTCAGGTGCAAATCATTTATTATTTAAGAAAAAAGGCAGAAAATGGCTTAAGCTACCAAAGCAAATTTATTTTTTTCTTTTTGATATTGCACCAGTTTATGAGGACGTGATGATTTTGTTCTTTTTGACCTATCGGATTCTTCATTTCAAAACAAACTTCATTTGTTTTATGTAATTTCCAGTTTTGCGCATAAATCTAATTGTCATCTTTGAATGGAAAGAATTAGTAAAGGGTTTGCAAGTTATTTTATCAGTCTACATTAATTATGATGAGTGTATTCAGATTAAAAATTAGCTGGAATAGATTTTATTTGACTACACATTTGGCCTGCATTTCCTATCGTACATCCACTTCCTGAACGAATTTACTATGATGGTGGCAAATGGTTTGCAGTTTTCTCCCCACTATTAAACTGTGCTGGGCATAAAGGCTTTAGAGGGTGGTGTAATACACAGACAGGCACAACATTAACAAATGGGTGCCGACAGGACATTGTCACCTTTTCTTGTGCCTCTTAAGATATTTACCCAAGTGTGGTTTGCCACCTCTGATATGTGATTTCAAGGGTGTTACGGGACTCTGTGGTCAGGGACTATCCACCCGTTGGTGGAGAGTATTTTTCGTCAAGGGCTATTGGGCCAAAGCTGAGCCTTGTTATTGCTGAATGAGACAACAGATCTAACCCAGGGACTTTCCCAAATGACAAAGCAAGAAATATCCTGCCATCTCCGACCTCAATTGACGACTCTATATTAGGTTCTGGTTAAAGCATAACTTCTCGTAGAAAACCAAAAGGATAGTGCATATTGTTGTTAATGTCCTTGGTACTAAATCAGAGCATATGTGAATTTGCGGTTTCGCTTGAAATTGAGACTTTAAGAGTTTTCTCATAACAAAAACTCATTTTGCCATCTGTTGTTTGTTGAAATGGCAACAAGGGTTACAATTTTCTCAGAATGTCTAATAGAAAGCTTGAATATTACTGATGGTGTTGTAATAGCATGTTTGTCAAAATAGCAGTGCAGAAAACGAGAGCTTAATGCATCATTTTCAAGCTCATAAATTGTTATTAAGTCACCAAAAAAATTTGGAAACAGTTTATTACTCTCGGATGTGTGTGAATATACATTTCCTCCTAACATAGAATTGGTTAAAAGCCATAATATCAGTGCATTAGGAGGATGAGAAAATTCCAGTAGAATAATATTAGAGCTTCTGCAGAATGCAAAGGGTTATATCTCCACGAGCAGATGTATTCCCCAACCACAGCTGTATCGCACATGTTTTCATGTCATTCGCCAATGTGGCAAAGCTGGACAGAGACTTATCTCAAGGACCTCTGCTTCGCCTCTGCACCCTACTGTATGTGAATGATTGTCACTTTTACAGTGTGACAGAACAGACCAAATAGGCTGAATGCAAAACAGGCCTGGCTGGATATGGTGGCAGGCTGTTCAACGCTCAGGGCCATTTCCATAATTACCCAACAATCCAATCACTGTGGATTCCTGCAACTCCTGATCTCTGCTGATAATCAGCCAGTGTTCTGGTCAGTGCTGGACCCCCAAGGATGAACAGGTGCGGTACTGCGACTGATTGCAACTAATGCAACTGAGGTCTGTTCAGAGAGGACATTCCCCTCTGGACCTGCAATCTGACGATCTCTCTATAGATGAGAAGAAAAGAGGACTTGTCCTGCGTTTGGCTCAGTCTTATCAGAAACCCTCTGAAGAGCAAGAATGCCAGACATGCTCACAACTCTGTTAACGTAAGAGTGTCAACAAACTGTCCTGCTATAGCCCCTGATCACCAACAGAGTAGCTGGATGTTAGCATCTAACAGAAATAATTATGCAAGCGCATAAATAAACAACACAGGAGAGATCATATATTGGAGAGATACTGATTTACATGATCTCATCTTTTATTTTAATTAGGGTGTTTGGTATCAAATGCCGTATCTAAATTTACAAAGAGCACAGCAGTGTGTTTTATGAAGTTGTAAAGGATGTAAATCCTATACTTAAAACATTATTTGTGCTGTAAATTACAAGCACAATTGGAGAATGGAGGAAATGAACACCCTCATATTGTCTCCTTTCTTCCCCTCAGTAGACTGGACGTCAATGGTAACTCTTCAAATATTATTTGTTTTTGTTTTTTAATTTCCCAGAGGAAAAAAAAAATGTCATACAGATTTGAAATGACAGTAATTTTAATTTTGGGGTATAATATTCATTTTAAAAACATGTATCTGTGGTTACAGAGAGAGAAAAAAATCTCACAAGCTGCATTAAATTGTGCAATTGGTGACTATATTTTGCATAATTTATATTAGTTAAATATTTTTATTATTTTCTATGTTGTGTATTTATATTATAATCACTTTATTTTATATTTTTGTTTTATTTACTAGTTATAATGAAACAGTGTACTCTGAGATTAAAGTGTAAAAAAGGTTTTAGTAGAATGCTAACATGTAATTATTAATAATCCACCTATCTGATGTAAATGTTTTAACTTTAAACATATTTAGGCATAACGACTCATTGTTAAAGTCTCTGCATTTCATTAAAATGTGTTTGAGATAGTACAGGTGGCTGTGTGGAAAGCCTCGTAATGACTTGTCCGTCCAGCAACTCTGGTCAGAAATAATAACAGCGCAGAGCACAGTCCAAAACAAAGACAAGTCACTTCCATAAACATTAAATAATGCAATAAACATCAATAATAATAGAAATAAGGAAATAAAATAATAAATCGGCGAATATAACGGTAACAAACTTATACTGTGGAAAAATAGCAGTATTTTCCGTAAAATTACTTTACAAGTTTAGTGTATACATTTCTTTACCTTCACTGTGATGCGCGTACCCTGACTGAACAGACGTCATCGTGCGCGTTCCCCTTCTCGCGCGCTGGTTAAAAAGAAGGTGGAAAGAGCAAAGAGAAACATGTGAGTGCACTGAGGAGCATGCAACACAACTTAGTGAACTTTTGATCACAACTGTCAACTTCTGTGCACATCGGGATTTAACTTTTGGTCAAGGAGACGTACTGCGATTTCTACATATAATCTGATTACTTTTCTTTTTTTCTATATAATTTTTTTTCTTTTAAAAATCGCATTAATATGCAATATCATGTTTTTTTCCATTTTAATAACGTCTTAACCAGACCTTGTATTAATTTATTATCGTAATTTCTTTCTTCTTTTTTTGTAAACACCTATTTAGCGAGTAGTTGCTTTATCTAAATTGGTTATTCTGTAAGAACTTTCAGGACGCGTGGGGCTGTCATTCAGCAGTCCTGTTTATTTCTGAGCAGCCGCGTGTTTCGCGTTTGCTTTCATCCCTGCAAAAATGAAGCATTTGAAATTTGTGCTCTTGTTAGCCATCGCGGCCAATTTTTGGGAATGTGGTGATGCGAAATTTGGCGAGAAAGGAGAATTAAGTCCAAGGAGGAGGAGATGTTACGATGGAAGTCTGCCGAGACGCCTGAAGAAGAAGGAGAGAAAACTGTCACTCGAGGGAAGCGGTGGAGGGGAGGTTTGTCACAGGCTCTATCCTCGCGTGTCCTGCTGTCCGTCCAGGAGGGCTCCGTATCAGATACTGCATCGGAAAGATGCTCGGGTATGTTCGGGCTTCCTGCAGCTTCTAATGATTCTCGTGTTTGTGTGTGTTTTATGGTAACGGGGTAATGCATTGACGTTTACGCTGTTGGCAACAAATGGGAAATCATGTAAAGAACATGTGGATGCACACACAGTAGAAATGACTCTTGCACTCAAAACAGCAATGCGCAGCAAACGCGCGAGTCTGGAGACGCTTTTTTCTAAAGTTGTACTTGTTTAACTTGACACGGCGTCTTAAAAAACGTGGCACGAGACGCGTATAAACACGGAGACCGTCCGCAATGTCCGCCGCGCTAATGTTTACACAGGAAAACGATTGAAAACAACTCGGAGTGAGGTAAGAACGCGTGGTGTTTCTCCATTCTCACAAGCTCCTCGTTCGCGAACACGAGGCGTATGAATGAATTCGGTTTATTTCAATAGTCTGCTGCAACAATGTCGCGTTTCCGACATACGAACGGCTTTCAATAGCTACATATATGCGGTTAAATGTTTGTGTGTGCATACAGATTTGTTATTTTGCACAACTTTTCACGCACGCTGGTGTTTCGCTGACAGCATGTGCTTCTCGCAGTGATGGATAGGATTTACATAAAACAGATGGGAAACAAATGTCCCTTGATCGGTAATGAATCGCACCTTTCTGAGGCTTTCTACAGACGTGAGAAGATTCATCTCAATAGTTTTATGAATGAACACATTCTATGCCGAGAAATCTCCCTTTTCTCATGTAAACAACCTCCGTAAATCGACATACGCGGCTGGGTGGCATCGCTCGTCGTTTTGTGACAAAAAGCCATATTGCATCATTTAATTTGCTCAAGTCATGCAAATAAGAGTGAGGCTGAATGGAACACACAAAAAAAGAGTCGACATCTCCTCCTCCCCACTACACTGCCCACACACGGAGTCTTTTTGCTTTTGGCAAAAGAATAACAACAACACCATTGTGTTTGTTGGTTTCACTAATGGGTGAAGCTGAAGAACATCATTCTCCCCCCGTCATAGGCTCTGTCCAAGTGTTAGTTAATGCCTTTGAGGGAGTATTTGTCCTGCTCCCACCCCAAACTTACTTAAACCAATTCCCAGAGGACTCAAATGGTTTCACTTAAGCTGTTTAAGACAAGCTTACAGGTTTTGTGGGGTAGTTAGCTTAGTTGTGGTTTTATTTGAATGGGTGGGTATTTGAACTATGAATCACGTCAGGTGATTCATTCGTTAAATCATCTGTTTATTGGATTGTATGGTTGTATTAAGTCCTCGATCATCAATCACCTCAGTGAGAATTTGTGCGGATGTAGCTGCCCTCATTGTTTGTCGCTTAATGACAAGCAATTGTTTTCAAATGAGTCTTTGTGTTTACGTTTGTTCTGTCACTTTCAGTGACAAAGGATATTGTGTGCTGTGATGCATAATCCCAACATCTGCTCAGCTTCACACATATTACAATTTTCATGCTGAACACTATTCATAACGCCTTTTCACTTCACAAATAATAACTGGATAAATGGATGATAATGTTCTGTTTAGTAAGCTTCAATGGACTCTGAGTGGTTGTCTGCATTTTCATCGTTCATCAGTTACTAGTGAAAGATTCCAGTAATATCCTTGTTTGGTGTTGTTATCAATATAGTTATGACGTAACTATTCCCATATGATTAGAATACTTGTCATTATCATTCTTGATGTGAATTGGTTTAATAAATCTGTTATAGCCTTCCAAAAATCAGGCATAATGGACATTTGGATCTACAGTATGCTCATGTACTTTATGTCTTTTGTTTGCACTGGCATGTTTAAAAGAACTTACGTATGGCCAGTGATGTAGACCATGGTGTGATTTTAAGCAGCTTTGAACAACTTTTGAAAACATTTGAAAAAAAAAAACAAAAAAAAAACAAAGGTTCTCTTGTTGCTGGTAAGGGTGATGGCAACATTGGAGCCTATCCCAGCAACATATGGGAAGAGTGCATGGTTGAGAGCACACAAATGCTTCTCTCCGTGGACCATGTGCCAGTCCATGGCTCACTAAATCAATGGGCAATTTAAAGCAGGAGAGTTGCCACTCACAAACCAGGGTAACACAACGATCACCACAAGACTGAAAGCGAAGAGAGCTTGAAAATTTACTTGCTGGTTCATATGGAGGTGTCAGTGTTTCTTTTTTATCTCTGATTTTTGTTTCTTTTTTTCTTTTGGAGACAGTTTTATCTCCCAGGCACAAAGGTGGTTTTGATTCACTCAAAAGAATCTGGAGAATCAAAATCAAAGAAATCTGTCCAAATGGTTTACTATGTAGTAGTGGGCCGTCTATATGCTGTCTGCTGGGCGTGCTGGTCTAATTGACTTGGACAGACTGCTAATTTGTTGATACCAGCACGGGAATGATGTGCCCGTCTATCTGTAAATTGGTGTTTACACATGGACCTCACACAGAGAGAGGGAGGTTTACCAGACTGCTGCAGCACAGGCGTACGTCTGGGGAAGGCAGCAGATTACATTGTTGTTTTATTACAGCTAATTTGTTACATAAATAAGCCTGCTCATTTTCTCGGCCCTAATCTACTGTTTACTTTTGTTTGGTGACTTAAGAAACAATTCGAGTATCCTCATTTCGGTCCGTTCGATCCAGCTTGGGTTCAGCTGCCATGTGAGGTGCAATTTTGGCTTAGCTGTTTGTAAGCTCAAATAAACAAATCAGGAGAAATCAAGTCCACATGGATGTGTGGTGTTTGTTAAGAAAGATGTTTAGAATGTGAATTGCATCCAATTAAGGAGAAAACATTCCAAAAATGTGTGTCAAACCACCTAGTTTGTCATCGTATAGGAACAACTTTGTAGCATGAGTAAATTTGGGATCAGCCGTTGAATTAGAAGCACAGTTCTAACCTTTTCTCTTTGTTTTCACTCCACAGACTTTCTCGACTAATAACACGGAGTGTTCTAGACTGCTGGAGGAGATTAAGTGTGCCCATTGCTCACCAAATGCTCAGATGCTGTTCCATTCACCTAAACTTGAAAAAGCACCACATAGAGAACAAGACCTACCCCGCTTATGCCATGACTACTGCCAAGAGTTCTACTACACTTGCCGTGGACACGTACCAGGTAACCAATAAATTCAATAACGTACCATCACGATTACTGACACATTCCCAGTTGAACTAATTTACCTCAGATATCCCTCATAATTGAAATGTAAAATTGCAGGGCTTTTAGTAAAGGAACAACATTGTGAGAGTGTTTTAGACCCAGAGAAAACTTTTGTTACATATTTTGGTAGCAACTTATTTTAATGGTGCCTTTAACACATTTTTTTGTTGAATTTAAGTTACATTGCATCTACATGCCAACTTATTTTCAACAGATTTTAAGTAGACTGTGGTCGGGGTTAGTGTAAGTTGACAAGTACTTGCAAAGTTTTTTATAGTCAGTTAAATGTAAAAGAAGTACTAGCACATATTAAGCAGACAATCTACTAATACTCAAATGAGAAGTAATTGGCATGTAGCTGCAATGCAACTTTTAGTCAACAAAATGTGAAATAGAGACCATCAAAATAAGTGTTATCCATATTTTATATTTGTTATTTTGAACCAGGTATGTTTGGAGCACCTTTGGACATCAAAAAGGCTTGTGTTAAACTATCTATGAAGTTATTTAAGCATCAGTAAACTTTTTCAACATTTATTTAACCTTTTTTCACACTCTTTTGACACATTGACAAGATTGAAAAGAATTGATCTTTGTTAACCAAAACTTAAATTAAGTAAAAACATGATAATATTCAAAACTTTTTTTTTATCTAAAATTCGCTCTTTATTCAGATACCATATGGTTTTATTTGAAAAATATTTAAGTTATGACTGTTGAAATGTGGAATGCGACAATTTTTTACAGATCGTATGAGGGTCAGTGTGTCAGTCTAAAATAACAAAATATTTCTTATTCTGCATGGCGATCTTATTTAAAAAACACATTGGTTCATTTCTTTATCTTGGGTTCATTCAGAAACCAGTTTCTTTCTTTATGTCCCAAAGATTTTACTATCATAAAAGGCTTTAAATATTCGTTAAAAAATCACACTTAAAGTGTAATATATAAATTCTAAAAACATAATAACATATTTAATGTTTTATATTATGTAAATATACATTTTTTATTGATTACAACTGAAACAAACTCGCCTTAATGCAAGCACGGATTCCACCTTGATGCAGTTTTTTTCATTAGGTAGTCACTAACATGGACATTTTATGTCCATTGATCATTCTTTTTCTTGATCTCTGCTAAAATTCGGAAAAACCCTTTTCCCTATTAAATTTGTTAAGCTCAAATGTAAACGCACCAGTGGACGCATGCCCCAAACAAAGCCTGAAAATCTGTAGCTGTAAATTAATGATTTTATGACCTGTTTCTTCCCCTCGGTCCTTTGGCAAGCACCTTATTTTACGTCAACACAGCTTGCCAAGATGTGTTTGGTGTTTATGTGTGTCTGTCTGTCTTTGGGGGGAGGGTGGGGAGTATCCACGGTCTGAGCACGGTCTAGACATGACTGACACTCACACCTCACCTCACCAGCAGAACACACACTTTTACAGGATGCAATGGAAAGCAAGGCCTGTTGAAGGCAATGCTCACATAATCAGTTTGTTTTTCTTGGTGGCAGCCTACACTCAATGAAAAGACAAACATTAAGGCCTCTAAAATGTAAGGGGGAAAAAACAGATGGCATCGGGGAGGAGTCCCTGAAAGACCTGAACAGCTCTAAGCCATCATAAGGTTTGTATTTTCTCGCAAACATGAATGACATCAGGAGCAAACATCCAATAGCTGCTCTATAGTGTTGCAACATTCGCTGCGTGATGCATTCCATCAGATGGAATGGTATGCAAAAGCTGGCCGCCAGACCAAACCTTCTTCCTATCAGCACAGCCATAACAGATTAGATGAGGGCAGATATGCAAACAGAGAGCAAACGCAAGCCACACGCACATACACACACACACACACACACACGGAAATGTGAATAGACCAACAAATCAGATACTGTATACATACAGTTTACCTCTCTGTCTTCCTCCATTAAACAGATAAATAAGGGTGTGCAGTCTGTTTCAACTCTTTGTAGAGGGAGGAAGTGCATGGGAAAAAGAGGGAGAGAGAGAAAACACTGCTAAAGACTCTGAGAACAGGAGCCAGGGCCAAAAGCCTCCCCTCTCCCCCTCCCAAATCAGCATATGTGGTGACGAATGACACATTTATTTTTCTACAAAGGTTGTGTATATGTAAAACTGCTGAAGTGCATCAAGATGTCAAGTACTTTGGGTGGCCACCCAGGTTGCTTTGGAAGATAACCAGATGGAAGTATAACCATAGTGCTGAGGATGTGGAGTCTCTTTCTCTCTGTCCTGTTTTTCGTAGGCCAGTACCATAAAACTAGAATGTATTGTAGAGGGGCTGACACTGGAGTTGAGGCCACACAGTGTTTTTGCCATATTTAGGGAAGTTATAAATTGTTCAAATTAGACAGTCCTTTAAGTTCATGCGATTCATTTATGTCCATGTTTTAAGACCATGATTACATATTGGTTTTTCAACCATAAAACATGCCTTCATGTTTTCATGATGTCTACTTTCAGGCCTCTAAGATTAAGGAACAATGTTCTGTTCGAACACAGTCATTTTACAGCTGTTTCAAGAGTTCACCTGTAGCTGATAATTGTCCTGGGAGAGAACCCTGAAGCTAGAGTAGATCTTAAGAACCGAGAACTTATAAATGGCAAAATATGAATTGCTATGGAAATATACTGCTGACTCGTCTTTAGTGCCAATTTGGTTTAGCCAATTCACCTATGTCTTTGGACTGTGGGAGGAAAATGGGGAACCTGGTGGAAACCCACTCAAGCATAGGGAGAACATGTAAACTTGGCACATAAACGTCGGCTGGCTTGGTAAGGACTTGAACCAGTGACGTTCTTGCTGTAAGGCAACAGTGCTAACCACTGGGCACCCTTGCCACCCTGTTTAGAAAGTAAGGAGGAGGAGTAGAGGTGGAAGGGGGGATTCTTCAAAATGAAGATACTGAGTCAAGAAACTCTGGTTATTTATGGTGTTATGAATTGGTGGATCGTGTATTGGCTATTGCTCAACCAGCCATATTCAATCATAAGCACGCGCTCCCCTCGAAATTAGTTAATAAATAAACATCTAGTGATCAATCAGTAAAGTCTCAGGCATACTACTTTCCTCATGCCCATCCATGCCGGTAGTTTGAAGTTTGAAGCATGTGCAACAGATTTTGTGTTCATTTGTGTAGAAAGAGAAAGTGTTTTTTATGAAATCAGGTTCACAATGATTGGGTAACACTTTAGAATAACTATCCGTTATTACTAGTTAATAGATCATTAGTAAACTGTTAGTTAATGAGTTTTGAATGACTCGTTTAATAAAAGTTTAATTATTTATAACTGTGCCTTATAGATAACTTACAAGCTGTTAGTTAACAAGTTGTAAATGACTTGTTAAGCTGTTAGTAAATTACTTACTACAGACTTGTTAAGTATCAGTTAATAGTTTGTATATGTTATTGGGACGTTATTCTAAAGTTGCAACTATTTTTCATTTATTAGCAGTTAGTACATGAGGAATAGTTGCAACGTTAGAATAATTTCCCAATAACATACATAAGCTAATAACTAACACTTAACTAATATAGCAACTCATACTTTACAGATCAGTTGTTCATAGTTTGTTAACCATCTACTATTACCAGTGGAACTTTTGTAGAACTTTTCTGTTAAAATATTTTTTTATTTATTTTGTTTTCATGTTTAATATAAAAGGTACCCAAACCTCATGGGTTTGTATTCTGTTGTATACTGCTGTTCTGCCGTGTGATGGCTCAGTATGTGTGTTTCCATACATTAAACACAATGTTCAATATTCCATCTGTGGAGTTTCTCTGATAAAATACAGTACACAGAAAAGCTTATGAGTGGAACAAGGTAAAGGTACAAAAAAAAGGATATTGTAAATATCACATAAAATTTCTGTAGCTTGAACTTGTTCCATCCATTTGCTGTTCTACAAAGTTTTATTGGTATTAGTAGATGGTTAACAAACTATGAACAACTGATCTGTAAAGTGTGAGTTAATATATTAGGTAAGTGTTAGTTATTAGCTTATGTATGCTATTGACACGTTATTCTAAATTTGCAACTATTCCTCATTTACTAACAGTTAATAGTTGAAGAATAGTTGCAACTAGAAAAATGTCCCAATAACGTATACAAACAATTAACTGATACTTAACAAGTCTTTAGTAAGTAGTTTACCAACAGCTTGTTCATGATCTATTACTAATTTATTAGGTATAATTATAAATCAAAATACAGTTAACTTAAAATACCTTAAAAGTCATTTATAACTTGTTAACTAACAGCTTGTGAGTAATCTATTGGCTATCTATAAGGCACAGTTATAAATAATTAATAAACTATTAACTTTTATTGAATGAGTAATTTAAAACACATTAACTAACAGTTTATTAATGGTCTATTAACTACTTATAATGGATAGTTCTAAATACTATTAACTATTATTTAACAAGTCATTCATAAGCCATTAACTAACAGTTTATTAATGATCTAGTAACTAGTTATAACGGATAGTTATTCTAAAGTGTTAACCACTTTTATACACTTTAAAGTGACATTTAAAGGCTTAACTAGGTTAATTAGGTTAAATAGACAGGTTAGGGTAATTAAGTAATTTACAAGGATGGCTTGTTTTATAGACTATCGAAAAAATATATATTAAAGAGACTAACAATTTTGACCTAAAAATGTTTTTCTTTTTTTTATAAAAAAATGGATTTATTCTAGCCAAAATAACACAAATAAGACTTTCTTCAGGTTAAAAAATATTATCAGACAAGCTGTGAAAATGTCCTTGCTCTCTTAAACATAATTTAGGAAATATTTAAAAAACCTTGTACCTTTATTTCTGAGAGTGTATCATGCAGAACATTCAACATGCACAGAACCTTTGTTAATTAAGAATATTTTAAACAGTACAAAGTCAGTGAGTTTTAAAATTGTGTTCTTTAGGATCACCATCAAAATCTTCCTCTTGCACTTGTCTCTGTATGTGTCATTTTTATATTTCTAGAATATTTTACCATCTAAATCAGGGGTGTTAAACTCAGTTCCTAGAGGGCTGCTGCACTGCACAGTTTAGTTCCAACCCAGCTTCAACAAACAAACCTGTAGGATTCAAACAAGCCTGAAGGACTCAATCAGTTTGGTCAGGTATGTTTAAGTAGGGTTGGAACTAAACTGTGCAGAGCTGCGAGTTTTACACATGCGATCTAAATCATTTAAAGGTATTCTTTTGACCATGATTTGTTTGGAATGGTTCACACAAATGAAAAGAACACGGGAAAATTGTGGATACCAGAAAGTGTGGGAAATGCCTAGAGTCTGACCTTTCAGCTACTATTGACAAGAATTCAGAGACCCTTAACCCTCACACCAGCAAGCCCAAGATAACCACTGCGGTTAATGTGTGGGTGGTATGCCAGTGTGAGTGGAGGTGCTGGTGGGTGGGTGTGTGTGTTTGATCTCACTGTTATGTTTAGATGTTTAGGGATATCCTATCACCTCTGTTGTTGGTGCTGCTGCCTCCCTCCCACACGCAGCCCCCTTTCCTAAGACAGCATGGGGGACTCGCTAGAGATGAAAGCAAGAAGAGGAGTGTGTTTGTGTTCCTATCACTGCTGTATTTGCTCTACTCCTCCCCATGAGAGGGTTTAGCTAAGGTGGTAACCATATCAGTGTGGTTTTTAGGTCACGGTGGGGCTGCCAAACCGAGCTCTGTTCTCGCCTCTTGTCACTGAACCACTCATTCAGCCAAACAGAAGATTGCTCCTACAAAGTAACCATGATTTACACTTGATTTTCAGGTTTTTCTTCACACATGTCTGAATTATGGTGAATTTATTTTGGCTACTACTGGATAAATAAATTGGGTGTTTTTCCTGAAAGCAAGCTAGCAAACCTAATCTCTCAAATATAATCAATCAGTTTGGGCGTGCACTCATCATTTATTTGGACTTGAATGGCATGTTTCTACTGAAAAATATAACCGCGATGGCGATTAAGTTTTCGGAATTTTAGGTTTAATTAAACTCTCAACATACAGACCACACATCTAATTTATTTATAATACCTCACAAATATACAACCATCACATAGTTGTAGCACCCAGATGTGTGCATCAACATGGTTCTGACGTGCATGACAAATATAAGTTTATATCAAATTGTTAAAGGTCTGGATCAGTATGAGTGACCATGATTTGCATTCCTCAGATGTGTGAGGCAAATACATATTGAGTCTCAGTACTGTATAAATGCACCATAGATGAGATCGGAATTAAGCTTGGCACCAGAATCACCACCAAACGCCCACACAATAAGCCGTCTGATGGCTGAGGACATACTTGACTCGAGTACAGCTTTGACTGTAGGGGATTTGGTTGGTTTTGGAGGTGATTACATCACCCATGGACCCTGTGTGGTGTCTATCTCAGGCTGAGACCAGTTGTCTGTCTGTCTGTGTTTTTTAGAACTGTTCCAAGCCGACGTGGATGAGTTCTGCCAGTACTATGGAAGGATGGATGGAGGCCTGTGCTTTCCAGATTTTCACCGAAAGCAATTGCGGAGAGATTCCAACTACCTGTTAGATGAAAAAACCGAAGCGATTAACAGGTAAACAGCTTTGCAGACACGTTTTCAGACACACTTTTGATGATTTGATTTCAGCTTGTTTTTGTTTTCTTATTAGAGTTATAGTTCACCACTGTAATATTTTGTTTATTTTAATGTCATTCATACCTTTAAACATTTTATATTTCTGGTCAATGAACACCATTGTTTTTTGTTGTTGTTTTTTTTAACGATTTTTGTACATTACCCAGCCTGTCTTGGTACCTGCATTACAAATCTCACACCAGAATTTATTCCCAGTTTTTTAAATCTACTTACATTAATAATTGGTAAATCTACTGTATGATTTGTAGACTATGACGGTACATGCACACTTGAAATCTTTGGTTCCCATTCACTGTACAGTACCTTTATGGAAAAGAGGTCAAGTTTGACATGAATGTACATTTAAATTGGACACAAAATATTGACAGAATTTCCTCTTTTTTCAGCTGAACTTTTCTAACAGAACTATTACTTCTGTCTGTAACAACATTCATCAGCAGGCAAGAGGGAAGCTTCCTTATAGTCATGTCCCATGGCACATTATGACTGGCCTGTTTTGATTACTAGGTCATCAGGGCAGTCTGAACAAGGTCACTAGAGACAAGACACGCCTGACTAGCCTTCCATGTCACAACATTCCTGCATGTACTCGTTGACTGGTCCACTGCTCCCCTTTCCAAGCCAGAGCTTTGTGTCCAGACTGAGTTTAGCCAGCTTTAAGAGCACAAAGAAAGTGCTTATACTGCAGGAGCTCTGATCTGCTGCTGACAGGGCTTTGACCATTTGTGACAGGACATGGTGAGGGTTGTCATTTGGCTCTCAGACAATTTAGCACATACCTGATTATGTTGCAGTTTTTAAATTCAGAATAGTTGGCACAATTTAATGGATACAAATGTCCACTCCACAATAGATTTGACTCTAGATTTGGTGTGCATTTCGCGAAATCATTGTTAAACAACTTCCTTGATTTGCCATTTCTAGGACCCAAGGTGACTTGTAGTTTTGTAGAAATGAGCTGAAATAACCTAACATTATCAGTTCACTTTGATTCATTCATTCATTCAATCATTTATTCATTCATTCATTTTCCTTCGGCTTAGTCCCTTTATTCCTCAGGGTTCACCACAGCAAAATAAACCCCCAACTTATCCAACATATGTTTTACAGAGCGATGCCCTTCCAGCCGCAACCCAGTACTGACTCTACTCATTCACACACATAAACTACCGCCAACTTAGTTTATTCAATTCATCTGTACCGCATGTCTTTGGACTTTGGGGAAAATGCTGCACCCAGAGGAAACCCATACAGACTCGGGGAGAACATACAAACTCCACACAGAAATGTCAACTGGCCCAGCCGGGGCTCAAACCAGTGACACCTTTTTGCTGTGAGGTGACAGTGATAACCACTAAGCCACTGTGTCACCCATAATAGTTAACTTGAGTTGGTTAATTAGCAGAAGTTATTACTCATCCACTCATCCGCTCCTGACCTCATTAATGAAAACGTTAAACCAGTGTGGCTCAAATAATGACAATGCGACCAAGTTACTACATTTTCCAGATACATTCACAACTAGCCATGCGCATTGTGCTGTGGTTACATTTGTTGTACAGGAAATGCACACCTAATCTTTTAATGGCACGTGTGTCAGTGTCACCCTTGGTATACGATCACTTCACTTTAGTTGTTAAAGCAATCTGATTTAATGGCACCTTCTAGTGAAGTGTGGCCTTCGTCTGTTTGCTGACCTCAGTTTAGTGTTAACAGTGATAAATGCCTCACTTTTGTATGACCTTCCGAAGCAAATAATGACAAGCTGTGAATCCACTGTGTGTTTTGAGAAGGCCCTGAGCCCACAGTCGTTGTAAATGAATGTCATAATTCTTCATCAGACCTCCCAGTGCGAAGGGCCAGTAAAGTAGCATATCTGATCAGGCAGTTTCATTGCTAGCACATCAGACTGACGTTATTCTATATCTTAGCTATGAGATGTCAGACATACATTCTCTGCCAGTCCACCCTTATTACATCCATGGAAAATCCCCCCAAGTCTCCTTGTTAACAGGAAAACCCACACCACTGATGCCTTTGTTTAAGTTAAGGCTTAATGTGAGCTGGCATGTCCCCACATCAAATGTGACTTGTGGTTAATGGAACATTTGTTTCACAGCTTGACGGCCCCCAACGTCTGATGTTAAATGAACTTCCACTGTGTTGTTTTATTCAGTCTACTCCCAAACTTGTCTGCCTAGCAGAAAAGATTAGAAACCATGATAAAACAGTTTAAACAGTTTCATGTTGTGTAGTTTTTGCAAACTTACAGTTTTATCATCCTATTCCCTTCAAACAGAAAACACAAACACAACTGCTACTGCGCTCAGGAGATCCATAGTGGTCTTCAACAACCTGTTGGCGTGGTGCATTGTGGAGATGGATCGCAGCGGCTTTTTATATTGGAGAGGGAAGGCTTTGTGTGGATCCTCACACATGACATGGAACTCCTAAAAGAGCCTTTTCTGGACATTCATAAGCTGGTACAAAGTGGTTTAAAGGTGAGTGGCTCTTAGCTTGTTTCTAGAGATTGTGAAGTTACCAGCTAGCGGGACTGAGGAAACGGCATAATTGAGTACACTCCATTTCTCAGTGAATATAGGCAATGTATGTTGGTGCTTTTAAACAAAACAGATTTATTAAACAGATTTATTTATTAAAATAATATTTTAGTCACCAAACATATTTAGAAATTGAAAGATAATACAATCAAATTTGAGCAAAACATTGCAAAAAAAATTACAACCTAAAAATTTCAACAATTTTTTATTTAATTTTTTTAATTTTTCCTCTTTTTTAAAATTTGTATTTAATATTTTTCAATAACATATAAATTTATGTGCAGTAGTTTTCGGAGCGTTATCGTAAGTTATTTTTTAGATAAGCTCTAGATTTGGCTTCAGTACTGACTAATCTAATTTATATACACAAATATAATGTTGTATAGCTTCCTATCAAAAATATGAATTTAAAAAGATATATTTGTGAGGGGTGTACTCATGTATGCAAAGCACTGTAAATATTTATTTTAGGTTAAACTTTTATTTATTGTTTTTAAACTTACTACAAATTATTATACTTATTTTATTGACGTAATATGCCCTTACAGTAGATGAATATTTTGATCTCATTAGGTGAGTATTTATTATGAACCAGTATCACAGAAATAAATTCTGCAAGTATTTGGGTCATAATTGACTGCCAGCTCACATTCCATTTTGAGTGCAATGACAACAGTAAAACCTATTCAACAACTGATGGATAAAATTTAGCAATAATCCGTTTCACCTTAAGTCACTATAAACAAACGGTTGCAAGCCTAAGATAAACCATGCTGGTTCAATAAAACAAAAAAGAGGAAAATAAAAACTAAACATATTAAACCTTTTAGAAATTATCTAATACTGTCAATTCATATTAAGATGGTTTCATGTATCTAATACATTCTTTCAAATCTTTTTAACTATGCTAATAATGATGAGTTTTAGCTAAACCTAGACAGGCTTTAACTCTTGACTACGTTGACACATCTGCCTCTGAAGAGAAGCTAGCTCCTGTTTGATATTGACGCAGCCTGACCTCCCACCATAGAGAAGTCTGTCTCACATAAATCGAGAAGCCTTGCTGAAACCTGAAAGATCTGTTGTTCATCATTTTGGTTTGGCACCTTCTCAGACGAAGCTGAGGTGGGAGAAATGAAGCCCCCTAAAAGAACAGAATCTTAAAGGAGCACAATAACAAGTTCTATGGATTTATTTCCATTTTTCCTCTCCTCCCACCACAAATCAAAACCTGAATGGAGGGTGATCTTGAAGGCAAAATAGTGTTGGCACAACAATTATATTATTATACAAATGTATTCTGTATGTGGGCTTCTATGTGTGTGGTTTGCTTGCTGTCAACCTGACTGCCAGCGGAGGAAACCTTGTGTTTGGTTGTTGAGGATCAGTGAGAAAGGCTGAAATGTTGCCAGCTGTTGCATTGGCTTACATGCATGTCTGTCAGTAGTAGTTATGGCGTGTGTCACAACAGATGTTTATCTGCCCCCACAAGAACTGAGGCATTCTGTAATTTGAGAGCATTTTGTTTAGAAAGTGTCCGGAGATGTAGGAAGAGACCTGCTTTTTGACAGGAAGTTTGTGTATATTGCATACCTCCTGTTGCTTCACTTATAAAGACAGAAAGAGCAATTACGGAGTCAACATGCAAAAGCCCCACAGGAAAACCCCCCAATGTGCCTTATCATCATTAAACATAATTGGTTGTGGATAAAGCAATCATTATGACAATTAGAGTAAGCTCAAGCCCTGGCGGTCCCCAGGAGAGCTATTCTGTCAAGTTTGGCCGTTATCATTCAGAGTCTGCCGTGTTTATTCGAAGCATCAACAGGACATGTGCCCTTTGTGCCCGTGGAAGGCCTCGGCAACCCTCTGGGACACAACTTGGGTATGAAGGGGAATGATAGTGTTTTATCATGACTTTGATTCTAATGTTCTGTATTTCCTTGAAGCTCAATCCTCTCACTGCCAATTAAGCCAAACTGCTTGGAAACAATGCTCTGTCTACTTGAGGGAGTCTCCCAGAGCACTGTGGGTGTTCTCTGATGAAACTTCTGATGTATCTCTTCACTCACTCATTCACGCACACACACACACACTGTGACTTTATCAAATATTCTGTGCGACTTGCACTTCTCAAATCACTGCCAGAAGTTTGTACCAAATGACCTGTTTTCATTTAGCCACTGACTATCATTGTTATTATTATCACCATCACAGGTGGGTTAATGACATGATTCTCATTTTGTTTTATGGTCCAGATCTATTAATGTACTGCAGTACCAAATACCATAAAAATGCTAATCATGGAGGGCAGCTAGCTCTTTGCAACTCTCACATGGTCGCCAGCAGGGCTGCGCCTGGTCAGTATCTGCATGGGAGACCTCATGGGAAAACTAGGTTGCTGCCGATGTTAGTGCTAATGCCCTAGTATATTGAATAGGACTCTGTACTGCTCAGTGAGCACCATCTTTCGGATGAAACATTAAGCCGAGGTCATGACTTTCTGTGGTTTTTAAAAATCCCAGTATGTCCTTCGAAATGAATAGGGGTTTAACCCTTACTAGGTTGGACTAGGGCTAGGGGTTTAGTCCATTATGGCCTCCTAACCATCCCCATATCATAATTGGCTTCATCACTCTCCACCAATAAGCTGGTGAGTGGTGTACAGTCTGCCACTATATGGCTGCCATTGCGTCATCCAGGTGGATTCTGCAGACTGATGGTGGATGAGGAGACTGGCCTCAAAAATGTGTAAGGTGCTATGTAAATGGAATGAACTGTTATTATTCAGGGCTTAAAATGGCAACCGTTTTGGTTGCATATGCGCCCAAAATTTTATCTATGCGACCTCAAAATATATTAGGGTGCATTTGTGCAAGTGCATAAAATTGCTGACGTTTGACTGGTTTTCACTGCAAAATGTTTTAGGACACATTCACGCAGAATGCATCTTTGCTCCTGAAACACTAAACGCAGAGCACAGGAATAGTTTAAAACAGTCGTCATGTCAACTTGCTGCAGTAAACAAATCCCGTAATGCTTACCCAGCTTTCAAGCTATACTGATTGGCCCACTGCTCTAGAACTGAGTGTGAATGGATTGTTTAATATCAGCTGTCAATAACTCAGTCAACACCTTCTGCCTTTGGATATCAGGGAGCTTTAACTGCAAAAATGTAAAGCGCCGCAGATGAACTGTTTTAGGAACCACCTAAAGTTACAAATAATGGCACATCAGATTAGTGATCATGTGGTGAATGTTAATCCACCATTTACACTTTTTAAAAAAGTGGATTAAAGACTTCTCTAAAGAATCTGACATATTTATAACTTCAGTTGTAATATAAAATATTGAAAGGTAAAAATGTAAAGTACCATATGGGGTTTTATTTAATCGTTAAACCACATGGCATTCCATAAACTGTTTTTCAAAACCATCTGAAACTACAGTAACATACAAAAACATAACATTCCCTAGAAATTGGAACATTAACTTTTAATCTATATCTTGAAAGATATATCTCTATTATAGACATGCTGTCACTAACCCAGTTATCTCAATTCTGATTTTCCAATGAAGAATCCAGATAAAGTGTCCAATTATTTTATTGGTTTTGGCAGAGCAAATGAGGCTTTGTCTTTTTGACCTCTGCTGCATAGATCTCACAAGGTGGAATGCACTGGCTGGTGAGGAAACATGTTGTAGTGTTGCGGTCCTGTTTGATTTATTTCAAACTGCTTTTTATTACACACACACACACACACACACACATCTGTGGCTGGTCTTCAAGTGCAACACTGCACCAGTTTGACTACCATGCATTGGTTTTAACAAAATAACAAAGGAGGTTAAATAGTTATCTACTAGTTAACCCTTTTGAGATGTCTTGCAAACTGGTTACAGTGTTCCAGATGCTGACAAAAATAAATAAATAAATCATAAAGTGTCAAAGACACTTAAATCATAAGAAAAATCCTAAAGCACAGTATTTCAGCACCCTAAAGTGTTTATCTTCTAAACTATTTGTGTAAAAGAGTCCTGATTTAGTCCATGTTGACGTGATGGGTACACAAATATGGTACTGCTTTGTTGTTGTTCTTGCTAGACATAGTGAAGAAGACATCTGCACGCAATGTGAGCGCAGTTCCATTGTGGTGCATCAGCTAACTGAAGGGGTCCAGCTGCAAAAAAAGTATTTCTTGCTGAAGCAAATATATCACAGCATGTTGTGCACTCTGTCACTTGACACGCACAGCTGTTGAGCTCTTTCAGCTAGATGAGCAGGAGGGCTCTCGAATCTGTCAAAAAATAAGTATCATAGCTTTGACAAATGGACTTTTTCCTCTCTCGTCCTTTGACTCTTTTAACAGTTCTCTTTGAGAAACGGCCACTACTTCGTCGTCATCTTGCATAGCTCTCTCTGAGTTCCTGGACAAGGTTTAGACTTTGCGAGGACCCCCGAGACAGGATGAGCACCTGTGATGGAGCCATTAAGAAGATTTGTGGACTGCTCCAGAGAGCTGCTACTGTAATGAGTGAATGTTATCCTACGATTCGATCTGCTCTTTTCACTGCTTGAAAGTGAGCGATCCTCACCCAGAACTCCAGTGCTGTCACAGGATTAATGTGTGTTAACAGGTGGAGGAGGGGGATTTGACTTGGGTCTTGGGATTCATTGTGTTGAACTAAATGGAACTCTGAATTAGTGTGAACATTTCAGATTGCCTTTGAGGTAGGCACGCATTGTTTTTCTCCAATCAGCTCGGGTGGAATGCCTCTTTATGTAGGATAGCCCGAGCCAATAAGGATCAAAAGGTGCTCAGAAACAATGTGCAAGCCAGGCCATGCATCAAGCACTGAAAGGCAAGCAGCTGCCAATGGGATGGGTGGGGGTCCAGAAGGGGGGTGGTCTTGCTTGCTGTTCCTGTCTGCGAATACATGTGACCCCTATGTATTCTCACTAGCATTCTTGCAGAGAAGCTGTTACAACCTAATCTTCAGACTGTCAAAGCAGCCGGCGATGCACAGAATGCAAACAATAATGTGGCACTGATCCTCTTTTTGTGAAGGCACATTTCAAAGCTGAACGCTTTCTTCAGCATGTTGCAAGGTTTCCCTGATCAAATGTCCAAAAACGTTCTTGTGGCTGCTACAGTGGAACTTGAACACGTACAGAGGCATGTACATGTAGCCTTATGTCTGCTATGATGGATGGAGGGAGGCTATCATAAAGTTTGTCTTTTCGTAATTAAGTTTTTGGTAGCACCCAAAGGAAAAGGCCTGGAAAAATGAATTTTTTTTTGCCCCAACTTGTTGATGGAATGATCATTAGCAAAAGCTAATATTTCAGCTAATTTACAGTTGTTCTTTGGTGGTCCCTGGCCTGGGATCATACAACTCTCTGGAATTCTTAACTTGACCTGCTCCTTCTGTGTTTGTTTTGGGATTCAGGTCAGTGCATCAGAAGTCCAACATGTTGGGAGGGAGTTTCGGGGAAAGGAAGAGCTTTTCATTCGAAAACACTAAGCAAGAATAAATTATATCTACCTGCTGTTAACTCAAGCCCAACCTCATTTTGTGTTTGACTAATGTAGAACAGACATTTAATGGGCACCACAAAGTTTTGCTTGTGTTTTCACTCTTTGTGGTCAACTAAACAGGCCTCCCGAGTGTTATTATTCATGTCCCTACAGATCCAATTCGAACTCCTCTGGAGCATTCCACAGATGGAGCACTAGAACTTGAAGCCTATCCGAATTGGATTACTTCAGCACAGCCCAACAGAGCTGCTCTGACCAATTTATGATCTGTATGTTTTGGCGTGCACCATGAGCCGAACCACACCGTTAACTTGAGCAATCCACAGAAGACCCCTCTTTTCTAAATTCCTGTGAGAAATGAGAAAGGAATGCCGCAGAGATGGCACAGCCAGCTAATTAGATGAAAAACGCATTTGTTTACTTTGACAGCCAATATCCTTGTAATTAAACTGGTGTTATGTGTTATCACAAAGCATTAAATCATGGTGGTTTTTCAGGAACTTGCCTCAAACCCATTTGTTCATTCACTGATTTATTCATTCATTCACGAGGCATACGATTAGCAGTATGTTCATTCATTTCATTTGTGTTACCAGAAAGAAAACAAAGCTGGAAAGATGAAAGAGAGAAAAGCCCAACATTATTACTTTCCCCAGGAACTAAAGTGACATAGCTGCTTATTACAACGGTCTATGATGAGTGGACCACCAGAGTAGTGACAACTCATGCACTTGCCTCCGGGATGAGAGGTTTTACCTATTACACAAGCAATTTCAATGTTTTTCAACTTGCTGCCAAGACAGTGGGTGTTGTTGTTTCTTTTTCCCCCCCCCCTGTCCATTCTTTTTCTTGCCTCTCTCATTTTGCATGGGTTTAAAAATAAAAAAGAAAGAGAGAGAGGATAGAGGGTAGATGGGGGGGACCTAAAGGAATCCTGGACTTTTGTGCTCTCTATGAACTGCGAGCGAGCTAATGAATTGTTTCAGCCACTCGGCACTGCATTCACGGATATCCCCCAAAGATTACACACACAAATCACTTGCACAAAGGAGGCCGCAAGGAGGGCCTGGGCATCCCAGAGGAGCCTGGCCCCAAATACAAGTGCCTATAACCAAGACAGAGTTGGTGAAAAGGTGGGAGGTGGAGGGGGGGTGGCTTGAAGTCAAATGTTTTATAATCGTTTGTAATGCAGTAGTCAAGGAGAGGGGAGGTAAGAAAAAAGCAAGGGGGCAATAGGGCATGGGGTAACTGGCCCCCATATTGAGAGAGACCGAGATAGAGAAAGAGAGAGAGAAAAAAGGAGAGAGAGAGGGACATGGGGAGGCCTGGCTTTAGCTTTTTGCAGCCTGGCTCGATCAAAAAAAGGGACATAATTAACTTCTGGATTCTTTGTGTACCCCATCTGACTTGCAGGGGGGAGATGAAAGGGGCTTGCTAAGCCTTGCATTCCACCCCAATTATAAGAAAAATGGCAAGCTCTACGTCTCCTATACGACCAACCAGGAGCGATGGACTATTGGACCACACGACCACATTCTTCGTGTAGTGGAGTACACAGTGTCCAGGTAATGAGGAATCGATCATATCTTAACCAAACGCAAAGGCTATTAACCATGGTCATAACCATAAAAAGTATTCCAAAACAACAATTAATTCTTTAAAACAATAACAATAAAACTCTAGTGACAAAACCCTGCCTTCCCAACACATTTGGTCCTCCTGAATGTCAATATTTGGTTTTGGCCTTAGATCAAACATTTTACACATGGACGTGTATGCTTAATGTTTGTTTTCCATGTGGTTTTGGAATAGCCTTGAGAAGCTGAGTTCCTTATGAAATGCTTTCGCTGACAGTGATGAATGTTTTATGGAGATATGTAATCACAACATATAATTATCGCAAAAGCATCCATTGCTGACATCCATTCTGATGGTGTTTAGCTCTCCAGCTGCAGTGCAAAACACCCAGCATTAACAAAACAAGCTGAAGTCTACAAGTCTAAATAATTGACCGGGTTTCATTTAAGTTTCAGATGTTTACAGTATGCTCATGCGCAAAAAATCTAACACTCTGATCAGAAAACTTTGTTGCTACAATTTTCACTTTTGATTATTGCCACAGGCATCCCTGAAGTAACAACTTAAAACAGTCTAATGATACGCAGGGCAAACCATTGCAAACAAATGGGAAAAGATCAAGAAATGTACACATAAACTAAACATAACAACATACGTATATTTTATGTATTCGAGCATTGTATGTATAAATGTATAATATTTCAAATTAGGGCTCTTACATGCATATATACTGTGAAATTATAAGATGAGTCAACTCAAGATATATATTTTGTGCAAACGTATCAAAATAAATTGTTGAATACAGAGTAGCACACATCATGTCTGTGCATCAAGTGTGTGAATGACTTAGAAACAGCAATGAACCTTGCAAGTCAAAATAAATTCCTTTAATGAAAAACTAATTGCATTGCTCCGCTGATCATTAAAAATAAAACAAATCATCTTAAAGAGAGTTTTGACGTGTTGACTGTCATAACTGAACACAGCATGCAGTTTGAACTGTAAATTAATGAAGAATATTTGACAGGCGTAGCGGAGGGAAGCTTTGACGTAATATTTCACCTAATTCACTGACTTAATTCGCTGACTTGAATAGTCATCTGTAGTTCACATTAAACTATTAAATGGTTTCAGAACATTTGGGATATAGTGCATTAAACTTTCTAGTCCCTTAAAATGTCTTCATGGCTTTAGTTTGGCTTATAAATTCCACAGAAAAGACCCATCTGGCCTATACTGGATCCAGCAAAAAATCCAGATTGGTCCATCCCTACTTAAGATGTTTTCAATTGTCTTATTTTGGCTGTTTGATAGTTTTTCCATTTCTACTTATCGGCATATATATATATAATTTAAAAAGATGCTTGGATAGGTTCCAGCACTCTGCAATCCTTTAATGATAAACAGGCTGGGGAATGAATGGATTTAGTTTTTTGTATTTAAATGTATGCAAACATTTGTTTTTAGAAAAAATCCAAACCAGGTGGACACAAGGACTCCTCGGGTTTTAATGGAAGTTGCGGAACTTCACCGAAAGCATCTGGGAGGCCAGCTCCTCTTTGGGCCTGATGGGCTTCTGCACATCTTTTTAGGAGATGGCATGATCACTTTGGACAATATGGAGGAGATGGATGGTCTAAGGTACATTATTGAATGCTTTAGCTGTGGTAATTTAGCCACTATTGATAAGTCAAGCACTATTAGTGCTAAATAATATTATCAGTGTTTTTAAATATGTTCAGTGGAGTATTTTTCTGCCATAGTGATTTCACAGGTTCTGTTCTTCGGGTGGATGTGGACACAGAATGTTGTAGTACTCCCTACTCCATACCCAGAAACAATCCCTATTTTAACAGCACAAATCAACCCCCCGAAATTTTTGCCCATGGTCTGCATGACCCAGGGAGGTAAGACTTTCACTTTTAAAAATAAACTTTATAGCCAAAATAAACTGGATTTTTAAATAGCACAATGTAGAGCTGGGCGACATTGCAAAAATATTTTTAAAATATATATATTTTTAAACAATATATTTAGTAATATTGTTTTTTTTTTTATTTAACCACTTTATTTTAATTATCTATTACTAAACAAAAATATTTTACCAAAATATCTCATATCTTTATAATAAAATAGACATAAGTGTTAAAGAGAATCTTAAACTTGCTAAATAAATGGTATAAATTAATGGTAAAGGTTGGTCTGTAAGGTGTCAATAATAATGTTACAGTAAACCTCAAGCTCTGTCAATTACACAAATTATGATGATCAGATCTGAGCTTTCCAGTAAAAGAACTAGCCAACATTGTTTAAAAACATACTGCAACCTCACAAATTGTGAAGTTAAGTGACTATATAACCCCTATGCTAAAAAAAAATTCAGATGGGGATCTAGTGGCTGGGATGAACTAGAAAAAACCCCAAAAAGCCACTCTGGCGACATCCTTACATCCTTTTTCATTTACTGTCTTTTACGGCACTCATTTTCACGTGTGTTGTTATTCTGACCCGAAGTGACAAGCACAAGCATGTGCTTTGTGTTTGCCTAAGGTAATTAGTCTGCCGTTATTACTGAAATGTGTATATTCCATGCAAAGGGTGAAGCAGATTGGTTAGTTCTAGCGCTCTGGGCTTTTGCAAAATGTTCAGATGTTTTTCAACTAGGTGTACCTGGAAAATGCACTCACGTTGCTTGCACACCATGTGCACGGCACTCCAATGTGTGTGTCGTGTGCATCAAGCTCGCGCCTCCATTGGAAATGACAAACTCACATCCTAAGCTTATTGGCATAGGTTCCAGGGCGCGTTTTTCAGACATGTTTTAATAAAACTATAGTGCTTCTTACCGAAACTGCATACTGAACTTTTTTCATTATCGATATTGACAATGGTGTTCGGTCAATAAATATCATTAGCGATTTTATCGCCCAGCCCTAGTACAATGATTGTTGAACATTTAGTTTCAGAACCATTAATAATTAGGCAGTTTGTCTGTATGAAGTATTTTCATTATATGATACAGATATTCACACACAGTTAGACTTGAACATTAGTGATCCTATTCCAGTCCTTTCAGCTTCAAATATTTGCTTTTTTGTAGGATAATCAAGTTTTTCTACACCAGAAACAATAAATCATTTCTTTATGGACCATGCTTTGGAAAAAGGCCAAACCAAAGTGTTACCACAAAGGTGGAAGCACACAATTCTCTGGAATGTAGTAGTGTGCTAACAGTATTAAGATTGATCTGGAATTACTTGTTGGAATTATTATTTGGCATCACCACATACTGTATAATTAAACAAATAGCCATTTATCAAGCATTAATGTTATTTACATTTCTGTGGTTTTGAAAAATGCTTTACAAATTGAGCTTTGTGTTCTAGGTGTGCAGTAGATAAGCTCCGCATGGACACCAATGGGAGTCTGCTGATCCTGTGCACAGATACAGTTGGCAAAAATACGACAACAGGCAGGATCCTACAGGTCATCAAAGGGAAAGATTACGGTATGTCTGTTAGAAGTGGCTGGGTTTCTAATAACGTAATGGATTAGTGTACAAGCAGAAAGGCTTTTCAACAAGCCAAACAACCATTCAAAGTTCTTGTATTGTATTTCACAAAGCATGCAAGTATCAGTGCATGTACTGTATTAGTTATAAAAAAAATCTTAAGCTTTAATGCGGGAACAGAATGTCTTCAATGGAATGAAGGGTAGGTTCCAAAAAATGATTTAATACATTCTGTAAAAAACGATCAACACTTCATTTCAGAATACCATTACAACATGACTGTTTCAAAACTTCTATTAATGCAAGCACATACTGTACAACAATTTCATTCATGCCTGTCAAAGAGCATAAATATGGTCATTTAGTGCAAAGTTGAAAGACAAAACAACCAAGACAGCAGTCCATCTTCCAGTTTTGCTGACTAAGACGTTAAATCAATACCAGAAGCGAATGCATGTCATTTTCTATGGCAAAAGTAATAGACTGGCTTCCTTGTACTCCTCCTTACAAGTTGGCAGCAAACGCATATGGCTGTCATCCAACCGATACATTTAAGACCCCAAAAGATTGTCCAACAAGTGTGCAAAATTACCCCAAACACCCGGCCATTTACGATGTTAAACCATCACCATGGTGAATGACCTACTTCATTAAATCACATTTTGTTGTTTTGCAGGGCTCTGACTGTAACATTATTATACTGGCCATTCCCTAGTCTGCTGTAATCTTTCTAGCCATACAAACTTATACAAATATACACAAACACTGGATGGTAATTGCAGGATTACTTCACACCGATCCTTGTTTATCGATTTGAGCTATACCTAAACAATGCTCAAACTGAACGTTAATAAGGACATTTAGTGAAATGAACACATCCCTCCATATAAGGTTTACATAGTGTTTTTATAACCATTTGGGGAATAGCTAATTAAAACCATCTTGTGTGAAGTGCTAATGGTCTCTTGACAGATTGTGGTAAACATGGATATCCCTTACACAAACAAAGAAAACTGTTAATAAGGGGATAAATTAACTCCACAGCACATGTAAAATGGTGACTGAAGACATTTGCTTTGTTAAATGTGTCAAATTGAGTTAAACGGTGCAGATGGTCTTCTAAAGCCCTAGTAAATCTGACTTTTACCTGGTATTTATTTTATCGATACTGAGTTGTTGGTGTGTTACCCCACAGAAAACGAGCCATCTATGTTTGACTTGGGGTCAAGCGGAGGTACCACCCCTGTTGGTGGATTTATCTACAGAGGATGTCAGTCAAGAAGACTTTACGGAAGTTATGTATTTGGAGACAAAAATGGGTAAGTTCTCTCATTATATGATTAGTAATTATGTCAAACTACTTTTACACATTGGTTTTTGCTAGCATATCATATGAAAATTTAGAGAAACCAAGTTGTTATGTTTCCAAAAAACAGATATTGAGCATTCATTTTACTATATCTCCTTATTGTTGAGTTTTTGTGGCAGTCATCAACTGCAGATGGAAACTGCCACTTTCCTGTGTTATTAACTGTGCCAACGCACACACACACACACACACACACACACACACACACACATACACACACACACACACACACAACACACACTCTCTTTAATGAGGAGAAAAAGAGCTTTTTCAGAGTAAATTGAGAGCAAGTTTCCTGCCAGGCCAATTGGCAGGCATTATATGTTTTTCACACTTACGCAGGTTTGTAATTCATCCTTTATCACAATCAGCCTGCCTTTTTGTCAGTAAGAATCCTGGAAATTTAGAGCAGTAAATTATCTCTCATGTTTTGTCATGTAATTTAATGGTGTGTTTTTTCTGCTGGGGCACAATAAATGATAGACAAGAATATGCAGTTGAGTATTCATGATTTAAATCCCTGACTGTATGATTGTTTCAGGAACTTTAGAATTCTCCAGAGGCCTTTAGAAGACCGATTGTGGCAAGAGAAGCCTCTTTGTCTTGGTACTAGCAGTTCCTGTGGTTCCTCGCTGGTAGGCCACATCCTGGGGTTTGGCGAAGATGAATTAGGTCAGTAAGTTTTCAATGAGCTTTATGTGTGGCCATCTTACCGCAAATCTTGTGTGCTTCTGTCATATTTTACTCATGTTTTTTCAAGGTATCAAAGACATATAAAGAGTTCAGATGCAAAAGCTGCTAAACCTCACTTCTGCCAAAAATGAGCTAATGACATTGAGCGAATGCTTTGGGCATGTAGTACACGTCCAACAAATATTTTTGCTTAAAATCACCTAAATCGCTGCATCAGCGCGTTCAGAAATAACTATTTGTATGAAATAGCCTCTAAACGCCACTTGCCTTTGACAGCAAAAGCCGCTATGTCTTGAGAACCAATCAGAAGGCATGTTATCATATATGTTTTCAATGTAGCAGCGCGCTGAAACACCAGCTTTAATGAGAAAACTGTTTTATTTCACTTTCGATTTTAAAAGATTGAGTTTGATGAACTGCATGAGCCTGTCCAACTGGCAGTGAATGGCAAATAAAAACATCCCTAAAAGCATTATAAGAACAAGAAAACACAATGTAAAGTCGGAAGTGTAGCATGCATTCATAACGTTTTTTGCTCAGCTACCCTACTTTGAATGAGTCCAATATACTATACGTTAAATGGCAACACTGTTTCACGAAAGACAAAGTTAATATGCTGTTTTTTTGTCCCACATGGATGCTATAAGGACAAAAAAGAGACAAAAAAGAGACAAAAAAGAGACCAAGACCTTGAATATGGTGAAAATTAATGAATGACAGCTTCTAAAAATGTCTGAGACATTCCCTTTTAGCCCAGTACGCCTACCTTGTTTTTTTATTTGCTAATGTAAGCTATTTTTTTAAATAAAAATATAATGTATAAAGCTATGCATTTTTATAACTTCATATTACCTATACGTCTGAGATATAGTATATATATATATATATATATATATATATATATATATATATATATATATATATATATATATATATATATATATATACTGCTATATATAAATATAGTGCCTTGTATATTAATGGATAATGCACAGATATTAATGTTTCCTTTTTACACTACAATTTTTGAATCTACCAAGCTTAGTTTACAATGTTTGCAATGTTTACATTGTTCTACTTACATTACATCTTAATCCCAAATATCAGAAATGACAACAGATTGTTAAGATTTAATTAATGTCAGTTTTAATGTTATTGATTAATGCACTTACTTGACAGATTTCATTCATTCATTTTCCTTCTGCTTAGTCCCAGATTTATCAGGGGTTAACACAGCGGAATGAACCGCCACTTACTTGACAGATTTATATAGTTTTAAATTTTTGGTGTTTGATGTTTGGTAAAATCATTTCTAATTGCAGCTTTAGTGGTTGTTCAACTATTTACACTGTCTTGTCCAAATATGTGGATTTCGAGGTTTTTGCAAAAAAAGCTCAGGTGGATTTAGAAGGTTTTGACACACACACACACACACACACACACACACACACACACACACACACAATCTACCCTCTTAAAAACCAAAGAACTGTCTGAGGTGACATTTATGAAAAATTTACTAGCTAATAACCTTTTAAAGTAAAAGTTAAAGTAAATCTATTAAAGAAAGTCTGTTCTTTTGAACTTTCTATTTGTCTTGAAAAATCACAACGGTTCTCAAAATTGCTGATAATAATTATGCTGATAATAATTATGAGCATGAATCCAGCATATTAGAATAATTTCTGAAGGGTCATCTGGCCCTGGAGACTAGAGTAATGGCTGCTGAAAATTCAAGGAATTAATTAATTGAATAAAAGTTATTTTATGCTGTTTTTACCATATTTCTGACCCTGAACTTTTGAACAGTAGTGCAAGTACAGACATTTCTCAAAAGACCTAACACACACACACACACACACACACACACAAAAGCTTAGACAAGGTCTAATGAAGCGATCGTTTTACATTAGTGTGTATACCATACTTACAGGAAAGAGAAAAAAATGTTTCTCGAATCCAAGAGTCATCTGAATGATACAGAACAGAAAGAAAACCAATCCCTGGTCATGCTTCCCACTTTCAGTTATCTTTCCTCCAAGGAATATTCTGGTATGACACAGTACTCTTTTAGTTTCCTGACAGATTACTTCCTCTTTTTTTGCTGCTAACAGACAGTAAGATGGGAAATCAAAGGTCAGCGCAGTCTGTCAGCATATAAGGTTTATGTTCTCAGTCGCCTCCATTTTTTTACTCGCACACTTAACGTGAGTAACTACCATTTTTTTGGCTCACTAAAATCGTAATGGGGTTCATTTATGTGAACATGCTGCCAGTCTTTCTGACAGTGCATCGCCAAAGCAAAGTTATGCCCACTCACTGCTGCAAGGCTGTACACTCTGCCACCATGTAATATCCCCACCGCTCAGTGCATCAGAGGGAACATAAACTCTCCAATCCAAACACCAGGTCAAGTGTGACAGAGAATAAATCTCCAACTTTGCCAAGAGTGGGCCTCTGTGAGGGAGAGATAGCATTTGTTGCTGATTTGTAAAAGGGATTCAGTGGAAGGCTGTATTGGAGACCCACATGGCAGTCTCCTGACACATGTTTACAATCTGTGCACAGTGCTGCAAGCTTGCTGTTCGTTAAATTACTTGCATGAGGATTTAATGAGCCTCTCTTGAAACCCTCTCATGCACCAGTGTCAAGTGCAACGAGAAGGAAGGAAGGTGTGAGAAGACAAATGTGATCTCTGAAAGAGCTATGTGTGGTTTTGTCATCTGCAGGTGAGGTCTACATCCTTGTCTCCAGCAAGAGCACAGCCAAACAGTCGCATGGAAAGATCTACAAGTTGGTGGACCCCAAAAGGTGCGTTGAGTTTTGAATACACAAAGAAGCATTGTATACAATAGAGCTCATGCAAGGGTCTCTCTGTTTTTCCATTTTCATAGCTCGCATGTGAAATATGTGATGTTACTGCTGAGCAATGCTAATATTGAAACTTGCATAATTAATTCCATTTTTATTCCGCTTTACAAAACATTCCCCAGTATTCGTTTTACGTGCTATGGTTTGAGCATCTGCTTGGTTAGTTCATAGTAAGAAAGAGAATGTTATTTAGAAGAATATTACAACTGGTCATGCAACGAAAGTCAGTGAACTTTCGAAGTCTAAGATGTTATGCAAAATCTAGGGAAGAGAGAAATTGACACAGGACAGATGAAAAACATTAGTGTAAGTTCATGATGACAGAATGTTGATTTTTGGGTTAACCATTATGTGAATTTGTTTTAATCAGGGTATCCGTGGGGTCTGAAAATGTCTTAAATTTACTAAAATGTTGTGTTGTAGGTCTTAAATCTTTTTTAACAGGTCTTAATTTTGTCTGTTAATTATTTTTTTTAATTGTATTATTATTGTAGACTGAAATAAGTGACAGCTATGTTTTGTTCTATTCTTGGTAAGGGCTATTATGGATAGTGAATGCATATATTTAATAATTAATAAAAAAATACATTTCAAAATTATTATTGAAAAGCAAAAAACTAAATTATTATTATTGTATCGTTAACTTTATTACACTTTAATCCTTTTTTGATAGGGAAAGTAAAGCCTTTTCTAACTGAGGTATTCAAATATTTTTAGCTCTCTATAAGTCAAAAGTTTCATTCATAATGGCCTTAAAACTGTGTTTAAAAAGTCTTACATTTAACTCTTTATTGCATTGCATTGCTCACAACCCATACTTTTTTGTTCTTTAATTTTTGGATATATATATATATATATATATATATATATATATATATATATATATATATATATATATATATATATATATATATATATATACACTACTACTATATAATATTTTTCATTTAGGGAAAAATATTTCTCAGCTTTTATTTACCTTTAAACAAAAAGAATGGCATGTCTAAAAATGTTTATACCCTATGCAAACTGTCACAGTCCACGAGAAAGTCCAAAGTCCCATTCCAAATAGTCCTAGCTGTTCTAAAGCATCCTAATTACCCTGATTCATTGGGAACAGCTGTGTTAATTAGCTCAACAGGTGAAAAACAGAAGCTCTCTGCTATTGGTTTGTGGACAGTCATGGCTAATAAAAAGGAGCTCAGTGATTACCTGCGGCTGCACCTTGTGGCTGTTCACAAGTCAGGAAAGGGCTTCAAGACCATGACTAAATGTTTTGAATTTCATGTGGCTAAAGTGCATGTTATTATTAAAAAATACAAGACGTTATGCACTGTGAAAAACCTCTGTGGGTGTAGAAAGAAGCCAAAAGGGACACCTGTGCTGGCCAGGAGAATTGTGAGAGATGTAAAAAAAAAAAAGAATCTAAGAATCACCATCAAGGCCATCCTGGTGAGTCTGGGCTCTGCTGGTGGCAACATCTCAAAGCAGACAATCCAACAAACACCAAGGAGGGCACCACTTATTTAGAGAAGGCACACACATGCCACAAGGAACCTACAGTAATTACAGTAAAAAGCACTATGAATAAAGAGTAATACATCAAATTTATCATCAAAATAACAACATCAGGCAGTTTGTAGAGAAGCTTGGCCTTGGGTACCAGCAGACATTTTAGCACAACAATGACCCAAAACACACAGCAGCTGTTCGAAGAAATAGTAAGTGGACAAAAAAAGTGGCTCAGTTAGAATCCTGACTTAAATCCAATTAAAAATCTGTGGAGTTAGCTAAAAATCAGGGTAATGACAAGGAGACACTCCAACCTGAACGAGTAGTAGCTCATTGCTAAAGTTGAATGGCCAAAAATCCCAATGGAGACATGGAAAAAGCTGGTCAGCAATTATAAAAAGCATTTAATTAGTCTTTAATAGTAAATAAAGTTTTATTTTTAATAAATATTAAGGGTATGAATAATTATGGACATGCCTCTTTTTGATCAAATGTAAATAAAAGCTGCAATTTTTCTTTACACAATGTTAACTTTTCAAAAAAACGTGTTTGTTGAATAGGAGTGACAGTCAGAAAGATGAGTACCTGTGACCAAACTTGAATGCTGTCAATTGTTAGCTGAATTTTGACTTTTTAACCACTTGATTAACCTTTTTTTTTAAAACCGCTCTGATTCATTAGAGTTTTGGGTGAATAGAATTTTAATGGAGGGACAGGCATCTCTCAGATTTCTTACAACAGTCTAATGGGTGTGGAATAAAATCATGACAGAACTTTAATTTTAAGATGAAGTAACCCTTACATATATATATATATATATATATATATATATATATATATATATATATATATATATTATTTTTTTTTTTTTTGCTCAGAGAGACACATACACAGACTCCAGCTTCCTTTAAACAAGTCGTCACACAACTGTCGTTCTTAGCCAACACAAACCTCAGCCATAATTGGAGAGTAAGCATACCATTTCCAAATGTTAGTGTAACGTGTTTCTAACACCAACACAGTCAAGGTGGCTCAGACATCGCTGGTTGACTAGCAAGCTTGTGTGGTCAGTTGGGTGTTTTCCTTGCTTTGACAGAACTCACACACCTGTCTTCAACAGAGGGAATCTTTCCCTGAGAAACTTGAGTACATTCATATGTTAACGAATCTGTGCCCCAACTACATTTATTCAATTGGCGTACATGTGCGCGAGTTCACAACAATATTTAACACATGTGAATGGAGTGAGTTAAAGGATTTAATCATTTCTGCATGCTGGTGGGCTTTTTTCAATATGGCATAATTTAAGCCGTGTGTTTTACACCACTAAAAGCCAATTTTACGATAGATCTTGAAAATGTCGTTTTCACCAAGCCAAGTACATATGAAAGGCATATCATCGATTAAAAATGAGCATATGAATTCCCACATAACAGCTGCCAAAAGTGTTTGCATTTTTAATAGATCAGATATATCATTTCTAGAAAAAAGGGACATAACAATAGGCACAGGCAGATCTGTCAAATCTCTAATTCAAACCAATTCCTCATGAAACTTGTTTTTGTGCTTTCTATGCTATTCAAAATCCTTTTACTAGACCCGTTTACACTATACGAACTATATAAATACCCTCAATTATTCTGTGAATATGTTTAAAACTAGGCAGAATATATTTTACTTTTCCAGTGTACATATATTTACAGTTGAAGACAATATTAGTATGCATATTGTTTTATTTTAATTGTTTTAAAAAATATATATTTATTTACCAAGTGCTTTACAAACCTTGCTCCAATCCAGTCCATAATTGCATTCAATGAAAAAAAATATTTTTACAAATGCAATATAATCTGTATAACTGGCTGCTGGTGGCTGTGAAAAATAAATGAAAAATGAAGTCCATTCCACAGTCACGACAAAATAATATTGAAGAGGTTAAATTAGTTGGAAAAAGTGGAATTCCTTCAGACACTGGCTAGGCTGGTCCTCAAAAGCCTCTTTATGCAAAAAAGAAGGCAGAATGGCTGATTATCACTTTGAAGAAGCTACAACGTTTTGTATCTAAGAAACCTGTAGAGGTGCATCAGTCAACTGTAAGATAAGAGTCGTTTATAACACTGACAGGTATAGGGGACCATGAGACGGTACATCTGAAGTTTGCCTTGGTAATCGCCCTGTTGCAGTTGTGGTCCGGATAAGACCTAGATTCAAAGCAATATGTGTGGTCACATCTATACTCTATACTCTAGTGAAGAATGCTGGTGAATGCATCATGGTGCTGATGAATGCTTTCTTGAGCAGGAAACAAGCATCTCATTAAAAGAAAAGGAAATGTGTTTCAGAATTCTTCAAAAAAAGTTTTTGACTCTTATAAAACATAAAAAATGCCATAATATGTTTGCAGATATTTAAGAAATAAGCTAAGTCAACAAATTTTTATCTAAAAACCCAATACTAAAGTAAGTTATTCTCTTTTTAAAATGTGCAATCTGCATCAGGATTTCATTTTTGTTGTAATAACTTGGGCACTGCCAGTTTAGACAATTTTGTTTCAGCATCTCAGGTTGCCTTGGTGGAAAACAATGTCTTTCATTTTAATTTTGTAAAAAAAAATTTGGCCAAAAAATTGATCTCCGGAGAGAAGCAACCTCTAAAATGAGACACAAATTTAGAGTTATTTAAAATCCACGAGGTGGTTTTTTATACACTGAATAAAGCACATAATCATAGCATGAGTAAATCATTATCATAAAAGTTTTTTATACAATTAGTGAGAAATTATCCATTCATTCATTCATTCATGTTCTTTTCGGCTTATTCTTTTTATTACTCTGGGGTCGCCACAGCGGAATGTACCGCCAACTTATCCAGCACATGTTTTACGCAGCGAAAAAACATTCCAGTCACAAACCAGCATCGGAACACACCCAGGCACTCTTACATTCACACACATACACTACGGCCAATTTAGTTTATTCAATTTACCTATACCACATATTTTTGGACTGAGGGAGAAACCGGAGCACCCACACAGAAACCCACGCAAGCATGGGGAGAACATCCAAATATCACATAGAAATTCCAACTGACCCAGCTGGGGCTCGGACCAGCAACCTTCTTGCTCTGAGGCGGTTGTGCTACCCACTGTTCCCTACGATGAAATTATTAATATTAAATTAAATGTAATTAATAATTAACCAAAGTGTTGCCAAAACAAAGAAATAAACAAAACAGTCTAACTAAAACCCAACCCATTAACTAACTAAAGAAAAATGTAGAAACCAAACCAAAAAAATCAGTGTACAATAAGCTACACCAACTAAAACAAAAACTACAAAGATAGCCTACAAAGGCTATGCTACCATATGCGTGCCCTTGACGCGGAAGTATAAATAACATAAGCTAACTCTCATAAAAGTAAATCGGAT